AGTGACCGAGGTCCCTCCTCTGGCCTGGGCAACATCTACCTCCTTGGTAAAGACTGATGCAACTTATCCATTTCAGTCATCACCCATAGCCCCTATCTCTATACGTAAACCCCATTTTTAGGTCTCTATTCCTTTTTAGTTATCTATTTTTTCTGGCAATGGTGGGTTCCCCATTTAAAGTTGTTAACTACTTCCTGAGTGCAGCTCAACAGATGCTAACAATCCTCTTGCAATTCACCCCAAAGACCATTCCTCAAGTGAATACAAACAATGAGAGTTGGCAGGCTACGTTGCCTTAGACAGCACCTGTAGATCTAATCTAACAGGAATAAATACGCACTTCCAGCGGAGGATGCAATCTTAATAGAAAGACATCTAGCAAGTTTTCCATACCCTAGTGCAGGAGTGTGAATGCAAATAATTTATTACAGACTAGGAATTCAACTTGTGTTCAGGCTGGTCAATGTGCCTTGGCTGTTCATCATCTTCAGCATTTCCAATCACTTCAAAACTAATACCTGCTTGGTTTTGCACTATTTATACAAACTGCAATAAAAAGGAGGCAGTTTGACTATGGATGACTTATTGGATTTTTTGCTTGAATGTGACAGAGGTTTGAAATTAGTTATTACAATTTACTTCTGCAGATTTCCGTGAATATACCTCCAAATATATCAACTTAGGTAACCAGACAATAAAAGATACAACTCTAGTCTGGTCTTTAAATATTTATAAAAACTTTAAATATGGTGCACCAGCAAACAACCACAATTTCAGCCTGCTCCTATATTAATTCACAAACACAGACAGTCAAGCCCTAAATTAAGTCTCAATGCTTATTAGAATAAAACATCCATTTTACAATTAACACAATAGTGCCTGATATGCTATTTTACTGATACCATGGTCCCAGGGCAGGAAAATGCCTTGGATAGTCAAAGTGATCAGAATGGATCAATACGTCAAGACATTCTATTCAAATACAAGCATCCTGTGGATTTATATAGTCCCGTGTATTTATATCTCCAAATATTATTTTGAATTTTACAAATGTTTGGCTATCTAAATTGAGAAACACTGAAAACCGTGGTCTTGGACACGTTCAAAAGAATTTCATTGCCGAGGGATATAACACAAAGACCAAACACTGTCAGGAGCTACCAGTCAACAGATTTTGTGGTGGCAAATGTGAATTAAGAAGGAACAAATCAATTTCAAGAGTCCTTTTCATATAGTGGGTTAGTCAAATTAAAACAGGTCTTATATATAGTTTTGTGCAGGATATTGTTCATTCACCTATCTAGTGCATTTATCCGCTGGTTTAAAGAATGAGCCAGCTAAAGTGCATATTCTGGTAGCTCTATTTCACTATGATCTAAATAAATGGACAAGAATCAGGAATATGAGGAGTATAGGGAGTGCAAAGCTCACTTGCAAGAGGGACTGTGCAAATAAATCCAAGAAAACATTTAGTATTAAAAGATCCCAAAAATATTAATCAAAGTTATTTAAAATATTCTAAATTCTGCATTCTTACTAAAAATTCAAATTTCAAACACAAACGCAAGGCAATATCTCATGTTAACATTTTGATACGTGACAAACCTAAACATATTTTAAAGTCTTAAACTCCTTTGTGAAAGAAAGGAAGCTGTTGCATTCAGTCACGATAGTGACAAACTATTAGACTTCCGTACTGATGGCTCAACCAATGCAAAGTAATAGCAATATTCAGGCTTACTCTAATAATCAACTAAGAGTTCTAGATAAGAAGGGAAGACCTGCACGGGGAACACCAAAGGAAAGAAGGCAGTGCAGTCAAACAAACCTTTTGTACTATCTACTTTCATCTTTTGGTAAGATAAACAAATCAGTCGTGTCTATACTTTTGGGTTCCATGTTGCTACATTACTAATTGAGAGAACGGGATTTAAGAAAAGTCACAGAATTGAGTTACACAAAATGTAATTATCTTGTATACATGAATTTGATAGTTAAATTTTGTATTTATAATACATTTTAATTTTTGAATAAGAGTGATTGCAGCTGTAAAGCAGCAACCAACTCATGACGGTTGTACAACTTATTTATTGTGAAGAGAGATTATTTGAACAGGAGTTTTACAAATTCAAAGTATAAGCAGCGTTGTAATTGCTCTCATATCTAAAAAGATGAAATGAAAAAAAATTTTAAAAAAGTGAACATTAATATACCTCCAGAATACTTTAGGCATCATTTGCTGGGAAGCTCCTGTTCCATTTACCAAACTGTAAACAATGCATTTTCTGCTGGTAGACAATTAAACAGACAGCAACAATCCTCTATTTCCCCAGTCAATAACAATTTGCATTTGTATAGCACCTATCTTAAGCACTAAACTGGTGCAATCAAAAACAGACATAAAGTCAAAGGAAATATTAGGAATGACTAAAGATATAATAAAAAAAAGGATGTGGGCTTTAAGTATCATATAAAAACAAAAGGCAGTTTAATTTGCCAATATCATAACCTGGAAGTCAGTCAGCTTTTTGCATGTCTACCAACAATTGGCAGAGAGAGCGAGTCATGGAGCTTATGCCATGGAAACAGACCCTTCCGTCCAACTCGTCTATTGCCAGCATTTGGCCCATATCCTTCTAAACCCTTCCTATTCATATACCCATCCAGGTGCCTTTTAAATGTGGCTCCACCACTTCCTCTAGCAGCTTGTTCCATATGCGCACCACCCTCTGCATGAAAACATTGTCCCTTAGGTCCCTTTGAAATCTTTCCCCTCTCATCATAAACTTATGCCCTCTAGTTTTGGACTTCCCTGTCCTGGGGAAAAGACCTTGGCTGTTCATCCTATCCATGCCCCTCACGGTTTCATAAACTTCTATAAAGTCACCCCTCAGCCTCCGACACTCCAGGGAGAACAGCCCCAGCCTATTCAGCCTCTCCCTATAGCTGAAACCCTCCAACCCCGGCAACATTCTTGTAAATCTTTTCTAAGCCCTTTCAAGTCTCACATCTTTCCCATAGCTGAGAGACCAGAACTGAACGCAGTATTCCAAAAGTGATCTAACCAATGTCCTGTACAGCCAAAACATGACATCCCAATTCCTGTACTCAACGCACTGCCCAAAAAAGACAAGCATACCAAACGCCACCTTCACAATCCTGTCTACCTGTGACTCCACTTCCAAGGAACTGTGAACCTGCACTCCAAGGTCTCTTTGTTCGGCAACACTCCCCAGGACCTTACATCCTGCCCTGACTTGCCTTACCAAAATGCAGCACCTCATAGTTAACTCCATTTGCCACTCTTCGGCCCATCGGATCAAGATCCCATTGTACTCTGAGGTAACCTTCTTGGCTGTCCACTACATCTCCAACGTTGGTGTCATCTGCAAACTTATTAACCAATGCTCCTACATTCACATCCAACTCATTGATATGAATGACAGAAAGCAGTGGACCCAACGCTGATCCTCATGGCACACTGCTGATCATAGGCCTCCAGTCTGAAAACCAACCTCCTCAACCACTCTCTGTCTCCTACCTTTGAGCCAGTTATATATCCATATTCAAATGGCGAGTTCTCCCTGTATTCCATGTGACCTAATCTTGTTAACCAGTCTACCATGCGGAACCTCATCAAATGCCTTACTGAAGTCCATGTAGACCACGTCCACAACTCTGCCTTCAACAATCCTCATCACTTCCTCAAAAAACTCAATCAAGTTAGTGAAACACGATTTCCTACGTATAAAGCCATGTTGACTATCAGAGGGAAAAACTAACAAGAGTTCAGAAGCAGAGAAAAAAAAAGTCAAGGAGAAGCTGTAGAGCTACAGGAATTTATACGCAGAGAGCGGATGAGAATTTTAAATGAAAGGTGTCAGAGGATCTGGAATAAGGTCACTGAGAATGGGATGATGGACAAGCAGGACTCTGCAGAACTTAAGAACAGTCACAGAGATAGAAAAGCAGGATGAAAACATGGATGAGTGTTTCAACAGCAGATCAACTCAGCCACGTCCAGGCAGGTGAAGTTATAGGGGAGGACGTATGCATTCTTTAAGTAATGTGGAAGATAAGGGGATCAAATTTTGTAGTACAAAATTAATAGGAAGAGCACAGGTTTGGGCAGGGGCTGAAGACAGTGACTTTATTCATACATGCTTGAATGTCAGACAGTCCAAAAACACAGTAAGAGTGGACGGGGCATGACAGGGAATGAAGAAGTATAGTTAAACATCATTTGGATCTGCCAAGATACTGCAAGTTTGCAGATGCTATAGCCAAGCATATCAGATGTGGAAGAAAGGGACAAGCATCAATCCTCAATGGACTCCAATGGCTGCAGAAGGATAGAACAAAAAAAACTGAAACTACTTTGCCTACGCTTAGATAGGAATAACTAGAAAGCAGAAGAGGTCCTACACCAAAAAGTGATGTAGTTGATTACATCAATGGCTGCAGGGAGGTCAAGGGGGCTCACAGTCACACAGAATAGTCATCTTCTCTATTCAACAATACACAAAAAAAAATCCACAGCATCATAGCCAAGGTACATCCCTATCGTGACGTCCTGTTGCATTTCAATTAGACATCCCAATAGGAACCACAGGGGAGTTGTGCATAGAAGTACTGAAACTGACTGTAGTATGCCGTGGCGCTGTTTTGGCTCGGGTCAGGTCATTCAGCGGGTGACCTGCTTGTAAAACGTTTTAACTTTTGGCCACGTTAGAGCCTGTAGTATTAAGTTGACAGCCGGCAGTTGATTACCATCAAATTATCTACAGCACACATCTAAAAATATGGAAAACAAAAGCCAAGGATGCAAAAGGAATGCTCCTTTACGCGTGAAATTGCAGTCCCTTGTTAAAGCAGGGCTTTTCCACAAGACTATCGGAGGCCCTCGTTTTCTCTAAGGCACTGACGACACAGAAATGCTGTGTACCCACTCCCGCAGTGATTGCAACATTAAACGCAATATGCACCAGTCCGGTACCTACCATTTTTGAAGACAGTCTTAAGGAAGCAACACTAGAGTGCACAGAGAGGAGACTGTGGAGCACTCTGGGCACCACCGTATGGCTGAACATTAACCAGCTCATTGCTCTCCTAATAACCTTCGGCCTCCTACGGCGTTCTGCCTTCACCGAGCAAAGTCCCCAGTCACGGGTAGGACGTTTAATTTCCTTCTCGAAAAATACGTAAATAAAAACAGTAATTAGTCACCATTAGCGTAGAATAAGATTAGATTTTTAAAGCGATCACGTTGATTTCAAAGTTGGTATACCGTTTCCTCGAACCTCTAGAGGGAGTAACTTGCACATTATGTCCCTTTTCTTAGACCAGTGTGTTTGAATGATTAACCACACGATCCCACCTCCAAATAACAGACAGAAACCTCTGCCACCTTTCGACACAACATGGGATACCGGGTCAGCTTTTAAATGGGACTCGAAATGTGTACAACTTCTATAAACCAGCGTTAAACAAGATACCAATTATGATATATTATTTTATTGAGGCCTTCACCTAATCACGTATTAATTTTACAACAAGCAAACAGAGCAGAACGGAAACCCCGAATTAATGTTCCCTTTCTGAATCTCAACGTATCAAAGCAAAAACTCTTGTGGCTGGCCTGGATTCAAGTTCTACCAGAGGTTCATAATAATGTCTCTGAACAGGTGGGTTAGGAAAATATGTTGCATTCTGGTTTCCACCTGGTTCAGATAATCTAATCGGACATAGTTCAAAAGTGCAACCTTCTAAATCAGTCCACATACTGTAAGTAAAACATTTTACCCAGCAAGCCATGTAGGACAGCACTTCGTGAAAAATGTCGAGCTATTCTAAATCTTGCCACAATAGAAGAAAAGGGAATGGATAGCCTTTTTGGTTCATTCTCCCCATTTACATGGTGGAGTGGCTTCAATGTTAGATGACAGAGTTTCTCCTGGAATCTGCATTAGGATTGCTGTTGTTTCTTATTTGCATTATAAATTTGTAATCAATTTGCAAATTCAATCCAGATTGATTATATTTGCAACTAACGCTATTTCAGACTCATCAGAAGCAAAAGAGCCAGCACAGAAATTACATAGAGAGTTAGGCAGAAAACGTTTTTTCTTCTCCTTTGTAATCTTTCTACTCATGAGACAATGCAGTGGTCAACTCTGCTAAACCTTGCCTAATGTAGCTCAGGATCCCCACTGCACATGGAGGTCTATTTGCTGCAGGGGAAAAGAGTGTATTGAGGTGATGTCAGATTGATTGGCCTGTTTCCACTCAGCCCTTTTCTTAGCCAGCTGAGTTCCAGTTTTGCCTGCCTCTTCCAATGTCAGTGGCAATATCTGCCATAAGACCATAAGAATCAGGAACAGAGAAGGCCGTTTGGCTCCTTGAACCTGCTCCACCATTCAGTAGTATCATGGCTAATCTGACATTTCTCACATCCGCTCTCCTGCCCTTTCCCCATAACCTTTGATTTCCCTACTGATAAAGAATCTATCTCAGCTTTAAATATACGCAAGCACTCTACCTCCACAGCTCTCTGTGGCAAGGAGTTCCAAAGACCTTCTGACAGAAGAAATTCCTCCATATCTCAGTCTTAAATTGGCACATCTTTACTCTGAGACGATGCCATCTGGTCCTAAACTGTCCCAAGAGGGGAAACATGCTCTCAGAATTTACCCTGTCGAGCCCCTTAAGAATCCTATATGTTTTAATGTGATCGTCTCTCATTGTTCCAAATTCCAGTGAGTAGAGTTCCAGCCTGTTTAGCCTTTGCTCATAAGGTAATCCCTCCATACTAGGGATCATCCGAGGGAACTTTCTCTGAGCTCCAATGAAACAATATCTTTCCTTAAATAAAGGGACCAAAACTGGTCACTTTGTACAGTTGCAGGAAGATTTCTCTACTCTTATACTCCAACCCCCTCAAAATAAGGGCCAACATTTCATTAATGTTCCTGATTACCTGCTGCATCTGTTGCTGATTTTCTATGTTTCATGCACACGTACCCACAAATCCCTTTGAGTTGCAGCTTTCTGTAGATTTTCTCCATTCAAATAATAGTCTGTTCTTTTGTTCTCCCAACTTCACATTTTCCCACATCATACTCCATTTGCCAACTTTTTCCCCAGTTACTTAACCTATCAATATCTCTCTGTAAACTGTATGTATCCCTCCCTGAGCCTACCTTTCCACTGATTTTCGTGCGGTCTGCAAATTTGGCTACAGTTCATTGACTGCTTTCCTCCAGGTAACTAATATATATTGTAAACAGCTGCAATCCCAGCACTGATCCCTGTGAAACCCTACTCGACATGGGTTGCCAATCTGAAAAGGAACCCCTTATCCCCACTCACTTTTCTGCCCATGAGTCAATTCCCTATCTATGCCAGTATACTACCTTCAACACCATGGGCTGTCATGATTTATTGGTTTTTGTTTATTTTGTTTATAGTGGAAAATTTTGTTTTGCATGCAGTACAGGCAGATCATACCATACAAAGTGCATTAGGATAATAGAACAGAGCGAGGAATACGATATTACAGCTGTAGAGAAGGTGCGCAAGGAGCAAGATCAACATTAGATGTATCAAACGGTCTCTCAGCATCTCATTAAGGTTAAACCAAAGTCACATTCCTCTGTCAGTCATCGATGCGGATTCCCAGTTCTCGAGCTGCCGAGTAAAACCGATAGCATTTCAGAATTAGAAGAGGCTTGACATCGTAATATTCCTTTACTAAATCTGTCAACTCTAGAAAGATTTTAGTATCTGGTGCTGCAGGGAAAGTTAAGTTTCTAACTGCAGATCCACAAGCTGTCAGGAGAATTACTCATTGCTTTTCATCTTCCCCAATGTCATTTGTCTGGAAATAATAACACACTCTTTCCACATATGGGGCCCAGTCTTCGACAGCAGATTGAGCAAGTCACGCTTCTCAAATAATGACATGATGCTAGAAATCAGAGTCAACACAGTGTGGAGCTGGAGGAACACAGCAGGTCAGGCAGCATCAGAGTAGGAAAGTCGACGTTTCGGGTCGGGACACTTCTTCAGAGCTTTATGATGCCAGAAATGCTTACCCCAACTCAAAGGCAACTGTTATGAGCGAATTTCTTCAGGAGCATGCTTTTCTCTCGTCACTACTGAGGTAACTCCACAGGGGCTGGTATCCTGTCACCAAGTCACCTTTATTTACACGTGGAGAATCCTTGACATTGATCCAGCTCCTTCAGAGCCGGCTCTGAGTGAACAGGATGTCTGACACTCCTGTCAGCCAGGGCTCCCTGATTGGACCAGATTAACAACTGCAAACAGGGAACTCATATTCTGTAAGGTCCACCTGGCTGACCTTGTTACAATCACTACATTACTCTTTACGATCCTAGAATGCAAGCCATCAGGGCCAGGGGACTTATGTGTCTTAAAAGCCCCACTATTTTGTCTAATACTTCTTCTTTCGTGATGATGATAGTATTTAATTTCTCTCTGTATTCTTTAGTATTAATGGAATGGTTGAAGTATCTTCCACCGTAAAGACTGATGCAAAATATCTGTTTAACTTCTTTGCCATTTTCTTCTTCTGCAAAACCATCTCCCCAGATTCATTTTCCAAGCAGCATATGTTCCCTTTGACCTCTCTCTTCCTTTTTGACTGTTTAAAAATGTTCTTATTGTCAGTTTTTATATTCTTCACTAGCTTGCCCTTAAAGTTTATTTTCTCTGACCTCATTATCTTTTTGGTGCTCTTTTGCTGGATTCTGAATTTATCCCTGTCTTTCGGGCTATCATTGAGTTTGGCCTTCTGGTATGCTTTTTCTTTCAACTTAGTACTGTCCTTAGCTTCCTGGCTTAGCCATAGTTAGTTTATCACTCTCTTAGAATCTTCCCCATTAATGGGATATATTTTTGCTTAGAGTCATGAATTACCTCATTAAATGCGTGTCACTGCTTGCTTATTGTCGTTCCTGCTAACCTATCCACTCAATTCACTTTAGCTATCACTACCTCATTTCATTGTAAGTCCCCTTATTTAAGTTAAACTCAGTTGTTTCCAATCTGAATTTCTCACTCTCAAACTAAATACTAAATTCTATCATGTTATGATCGCTACTTCCTAGGGGACTTTTATACTAAGGCATTTATTACGATATCTCATTACCAGATCCAAGATAATGTACTGCCTGGTTGGCTCCATGACATATCGCTCTAGGAAACTATCTCTAATGCATTCTATGAATTTGTCATAGCTACCCTGTCCAATTTGATTAGCCCAATCAACATGAAGAATAAAGTAACCCATAATTATTCCTCTATTCCTTTTACAAGCTCCTGCTAACTGTTGATTTATAGATTATCTCACAGAGTGGCTACTGTTAGGAGTCTATACACTACTCCTACCAATGTCTTCTTTCCATTGCTGTTTCTTAACTCTGCCCAAATAGACTCAATATCATTGAAGCCTAGATCATCTCTCACAATAAGAGATGAAATGAGGACAGTTAACCACGCTACCCCACCATCCCTCCTGTCTCTCTGATAGGTCAAACCTCCCTGAATGTTAAGTTCCCAGTTTTGATCTCCTTGTAACCAGGTTTCCATAATGGCTACGAGATCATATTCATACCTCGATTTGCACTGTGAATTTGCCTACCTTATTCCAAATATTCATGCATTAAGATATAAAGCCTTTAAATTTGTTCTTTATCAAATTTTCTGACACTTTTATGGTTCCTCGGTACAATATAACATTCACACGTTTTGTCCCTTCCTTTTATTTTCTGGTAATCAATTCCATCATTAACCTGCAATTCTAATATCTCCTTTACCTTTGATTTTATAATTTTCTATGCAACTGAACTCACCCCTCCCCTTTTTAGTTTGAAACCCTATCTTCAGGTTATGTGATCTGCCAGGACTCTGGACCCTGGAGTGATTCAGATGGAGTCCGTCCCATCAGAACAGTTCCTTCCTTCTCCAGTACTGGTGTCAATGTCCACGAATTTGAACCCGTTTCTCCCATACCAATCTTTGAACCATGCATTTACCTCTTTAATCATATTGACCCTGTGCCAATTAGCTCATGACTGAGGTCGTAATCTGGAGATTATTACCATTTTAGTTTCCTTCTAATTTAGCCCCTAGCTGCTCACATTCCCTCACCAGAACATCTTTCCTCTTTCTATCTATATTTTTGGTACCCACCTGGACCACGACAACTGGATCTTTCCCCTCCCACTCCAAGTTCCTCTGCAGCCCAGAGGAGATGCCCTGAACATGGACAAGAGGCAGGCAACATAGCCTTCAGAAACTCGATCCTGGCACAGAGAACAGTGTCTATTCCCCTGATTAGAACTACTTTTCTCTTTTATCTTGCCTCTTGAATGG